AGTCTAAAACCACAGACTTACTATTTTGACTTCACAAACATCTAATTTGAACCAGTGCTGCATTCAACATACCATGTGACACAAAATTTGATGTTTATGTGTTTTTTAATATTTACTTTTAAATTAAGAAATTGAGTAATGTATAGTATTAAAAGTTGAATTATAATCTATAGTTTGATACCAAACTTAATGACATAAATTCATGAAATAGTAGTTCAATGAAATTTTGAATGTAAGTCAATAAACGAGATGACATGTCCTTTCACCCGTGACCCATCTCGAAAGGGTTAACAGCAATTTTATTTTTCTAACAGGGTGACTGAATTGTTTCATGAGTTATCAGCAGTCGTGGATACTGGATACCAGCAAGCACTTTAAAGGAGTCTAAAAATAATTTCCTGAAAGACTGGTTTTAAAGTTCCAGAAAGTAAAGGCTGTCACAATGCTTGTACATTGATATTCTTCCCTGTTACTACTACTAGTATCAATCGGCTCATGATAACTAATGTCATCATTTTGTGACAAATCACGTGAAATATTGGGGTTAGTCAGGAGAGCTAAATTAAATTGTTGGTGTTAGGGGCAATAGCTTTTCTGTAGCAGTGATTGCTACCAGTCAGTTGAAATAGAAAGTCAGTGGCTTTTATTGCCATCTTTCTGTTAGTGGCAATAGCAATGGCCTTATTTTTTGCTTGCATATTCCATGGTTTGAGGAACACTGTACTAATTGGTTAATTAAATGTAATTAATTAATGGGGCCATCAATTAACAAATATCACTAACTTCCCAGCCCTACTGCCAATGTACCTGAAAGTGAGGATGATTACTGTCTATGGAGATAAATGTCAATTATGGTGATTTCTCTATAGTTTTATAAATGGAATACGAAATGCATTTGCACAACTTTGGGTTTGACACTTTTCATCTTTGACTAAGAAAAGTTAATTTTGATGACTTCTTAAAATAATGAGTACTAAATACTTATTTAAAATTAATATTTGACAAAATCTCCTAAAAATGTTATTCACATTATTGAAAATGAATGTGCAAGTGTTCATTTTATCCTTTGTGGAAATTAGCATAAAAATAGTTGAAAACCTTTGCAAGTACTCGCTGTATCTGAAGATTACTTCTGTAGCTGATGATTTACCCATTTCTGGGTATTGTGCTGGAACCATTTAAGTCCACTGTTAGGAAAATCAAACTCATGACCAATCAATGCACAACAGTTTCAGAAACTTGTATGAATTGAGTCTTACTATAGTGCTTTGCTTTTAAAGAACAAACATGGGTACATTCACATATTTTCACTGGCACAGCAGTATGAACATCAGCAGCAACAGTGGTACATTATTTTCATTAATTAAATTACAATTATGCAATAGACAGCTCAACATCACATATTTCTAAAAATGTGAATCCTGAATCACTTCAAAAAGAACATTTTTAGTTATTTAGTTGCCCTTGGGCTTAAATAGATTCCTGATCTTATCATTCACTGACAAATGCTCATTTTTTCCTTTTCTTGACTGTAAAGCAGCTCCAAAGAAATATTTTTCTACAAATTTTTTGGTCAAAACCATGAACCAGGAAACAGAATTCTTATTTGTTCTCTATTTTTAGTAAAGCATACACACATTTTCAATGTTATGAATTTTATACTGAGATATGACCATAAACTGTTCCTAGTTAATATAACTATAAGCATAGACATTAACCATTCATACCCTTTACAATAATTACCTCGAAACTTTGAACTAATGAAATCTATAGAACCAGATACTTGTTTTATCAAGCCAAATCTTAATTTCCTGATGATCAGGCAAGTTTGGAATTTAACTCTGAATCTTACAGGAATAGATCATTCACAGAGATAGTTAATATGACAAAACATTGAAAATACCACTCTGAATAACAAAATGGTATCTTCAAATGACTCTTTTCTTCTTCTTTACAACATGCATGACTTAAAAAAAAAAGCTTTTTCCCATTTCATAACTACCTGGTACTTCAGATAAGGATCTTAGAAAAATAACTTAAAACTAAAAGTGAAAAATATGTTTAGTTTATAATAAGTTGCATAGTTAAAACTATGCAAATAAAATTACACTGGGATATTCTATACAATAATTAAAATCTAACTTACCTTGCCATTCCTTCTTGGCCTTTATTTTTAGCTGTCGTCGTTATAACATGAACAATTCGAGGAAAAAATGCTCAGGCCACACTAGTACAAAATAGCTTTATTAACGCTATTTTGTTAAGCCTAACGTAAAGACTAAAGCCTAATAATAATATATCATGTAAATTGTAATTATCGAATTCCAGAATCGATGAAATTTTCAAAAAAAAGAGGAAAAAAACTTTTCAACTAGCCACGCAATAACTTACAACTCCGTAATACTGTTTTAATGTAATATCGGAATATACTCAACACAGTGAAAGTTCAGAAATTATCTATGTAATTTGCAATTGAAAACTGGGACCAACTTTCACTAAAATAACGCTTAGGCCTAACTGAGTAATGGATAAAGCATTATTAACACAGTGACACCAACTTCGAAATTATACGTTAGCCCAAAGTTCTTCATTAAAACTATGCCATAGTTTCACGATACTATAATTTTTGTACAGTTCGAAATATTGAATTTAAAAAAGCTACAGAATTTGAGAAACGTCGAATATTTCTAATTATAATTTATATAATAACCATAAACTAACTTAAGCCTATTTCTTTATTAAATATTCCGCTTGGTTGGGGAATCCCAAGCCTAACACCACAAGTGGAAAACAACGGCGGTATACTCTCCAAGCAAAGATGGTGAACGTTAAAAACAATATCCGTAATATACACAAAAACAAACAACAACAAAAACTATAATCAAAATTGATATAACTTTCCAAAGAGAATGAAAAGCTGTATTAATTTATGTATTTTGATCTTGATGTATTTGAGTACCTAAAATAGATATATAGAAAATAATTTTGGGTATCAAAAATGTATAAATATATACATGTATTTAACATTCTATTTGTTAACTAACTAGAGTACCTGTCCCTGGATGGAAATTATGTAAATTCATGATTAATGAAAGGTTATCTCAGAACATCAAAAGTTGCTTCACTTATATATAATTGTAAAGAACGCAAAAACGTCCACAAAAACCGCAAAACGAAAAACTGAAAAATGTTATGTATTCCCGCATGGACCTAATGAATCTCCATACTAATTTTGGTGAAGATCCATCCACACCCTGCGAAGTAGTTACATGGACATACAACAGACAGTACTATTATATATATATAGATTGGTAATTACTGATACGTTTTCATAATTTTTGTTTATAACAGTGTGTAAAGAAACTTCAAAAATAACTGAATATAGAAAACGAATTGAATTGCTTTAATAGCCTAACGCGTAACTTTGATTCACTGTAACTTCTAAATCACAATTGAAAATAATATGTTTTCATGAAGTTAATTCTTGATAATATCGTATAATGAGACTGGGGTAGGGGTAAAATATAAATTCCAACAGACTGTATTATTTGAACGTTTATCTGAAACGTTTTGTCCCCAATGGCTCACAGGTAAGTCTGAGGGCGTATAACACTAAAAATTAAGTTTCAATACCTGCATAGGGTACAGCTCAGATATCCCATTTGTGTAGCTTCGTGTCTTTGTTTGTTTTGGAATTTCGCGCAAAGCTACACGAGGGCTATCTG